TTATTTTATTTTATTTTATTTTATTTTATTTTATTTATTTTATCTTATTTTATTTTATTTTTTATTTTATTATATAGTTCAATCTCTTTATTTTATTTTATTTCATGTTTTTTTATTTTAATTTTGACTTAATTTTATTTTTTTAGTTCTCCACTTTATCTCAGCAATTTTAGAGTGAGAAAATTACGGACACAGCTTGATTCGGTTTTATCAAAGATATGTGAATAGGTGGCGCAGGAGTGGAGATATTTGGAGAACCCGTATTTATGTTCCGATTTGATTCATATTTATAAAACTTGTTTTAAAACTATTTTTTTTTTATTATTAACTTATTTTCTCAATTTCAATCAATGTTAAAGAAATGGTCTGAAACAGATCTTGTACTTAACACCTTTTGAAGTATTTAGTGGCAATTTACAGCTATTAACAGCGAACAAAAAAGAGTTGAAGCCACTGCGCTGTAAAAACGAGGATAAAGAAGCAAACGGTTAATGATTTCCTGCGATCAACCTATTTACTGGTCCTGGATTTAAAGGAAAAATTCATAAATGAACTTTTTTTTAGCTTTATGCTTATGTTTGAAATAACAACGGGGAAAACTGTGAACTTCAGGCTGTTCTTCGTATAAGCTCATAACCGAAACATAAACTTTTAAAATTCCTAAACTTATCAGAAGAAATCCAGCAGCAGTAAGCCTATGCAATAAGTTTGCGTCCGTGTGTTTTTATCGTTTTCAAATGATTCATTTCCGCTTAAGTTTAGAAAAAAAGTCCGTTTTATGATAAGAAATGAGAAATAGTAAATACATACATAATAGCAACTTTTTGTGCTACACAATCGCATGTACTAATCCATGCAACTGACTTATGAAGCAGCATCGAGCTTGTTTTCGGGCGAAAGTATTGTACGTATGCGACTCATTCGTAGACAAATCTATTTACATACATACATGCATTTACAAAAGCAAAAGGTAAATAAAATTAAATTAAATCGTATAATCACCAAAGCATGACCAGCACATACATATGTACGTATGTACATT